GAAATATACGCAGTACTTACTTTCCTGTCAAACCCAAACTACTTTTTCAGATTTAGCAACATGAAATAAGCTATTTATAATCAGCATATTCAATTGTACTATTTGGCATATCTATGGAATTTAAAAGTATAACTATGTTAATTTTCTGTACAGAAAAAATATACCCAGTACTTGAGAAGGGGTTACAAACTGCAGCACCCTATGCTGCTATAGCACATGTATTTTTTTTATTTATGCCATCTGAGAGGTAGGAAAAATAAAATTTGAAAGTAGAAAATGAATTCTGTAGTAAACAAAAGAAAGTATTGTTTTGACTGAAACTCTTTCATAGTCACAGCAGGACTACAGCATGTTCTGGATATTAAGATAACTACTATTGAAAACACTGAATTATTTAATAGTGTATTGCTTTAAACTCATTATAGCATATTAATAGTTGAATAGACTATTTACATTTAAACAAAAAAGTCTTGGAAAATATTGCATGTGTTTCTAGTGTAAGAGGGGTTTTTCCCCAGTGCTTCCCCAAATTTCCATTGGAAAAATTGAGGCAGTTCTCAGACTTTTTCATACTATGCATTTTGAACTTGTGAAATCTTGCCTTAAGCGTTTTACTCATTCTAAAAGAGAAAATGTTTCATAAGAGTTGTTTTTCCCCAGTGTTCCCTGAAATTTTTCAGTTTTTCCATTGGGGGAAAGCCCTTGGGCAGGGAATGTTTTTCCCATTTTGGAGGTGGCCCTCCCATCTCTAGTTGACACTCAAAGAATAGATGGAGGCTGAGCTTGCGTATAAAAAAACTGTTTTGTTTTTCCTTAAATAAGGGCAAATCTTCTACATCTTTAACAACTCTGATTTTTATTAAGTTCTATTAATTTACCTAGGATAAAATTTAATTGTTTTATAGTTTACTTGGATGTCCCCCGGATCCCTTTTTTAATAAAACATTGTGATGTTGGACAGGGGTCATTTCGTAGAGGTGCAGGAGCTTATTAGCATAACTCATTAGCATAAATTATTTGCATATGCCCCACCCCCTGACAGCACCGGAAGTGTGTCAGAAGGCAACACCCACTGCTCAGGCTTCACTGAACAGTTTTGGATTGCTAGCTGTTGGGGGGGGGGGAGAGAACGTGCAGATCTGTCCTCACAGAGGAGGCAGAGCTTGTACCTGAATAAAACTTGGTCTTAAAGGTGCCACTGGACTGTTTTGGGCTTGGGGGGGGGGCGTCTCTGCAGCTTACCTGGCTGCTTCTTGCTCTGACTGAGGGCTGCTGGGAGCAGGGGGTGGGCCTTGTTGCATGTGCCTGCCCCCTAGGCTCTTTATGCCAGAGCTCTGCTCCGGCAGGAAATAACCCCTGATGTTGGATGTTTCTGGCATGTTAGCAACAAATTACATATTTTTATTAGAAGATCAGTAGTCTTATTTTTGAGTTAAGAACAGAAATGTAAAATTTACAGAAATTTTGAAGCCATGGGGGAGGAACGGGTTTTTCCCAATTCTTTAGAGGAAAAACAGAAATGGGTTTGTTTGTTTTTTAAATATCTGCAATACCTGTTGCCCTGTCAAACATAAACTAATTTTACTGCTTTAACAACAGAAAATGCATCATTTATAACTTAGCACATAAAATTGCAATATTTGACATATTTATGGTACCTTAGTTTTGTACAAGCAAAACTGCAGATGAACTGATATCTGAGAGACAACTGCAAGCTGAGGCTTCCTGTGCTATTTTGTCACATCTTTTGATAGCTGGTTAGAGAAAGCTGTCAATGGAAACTTTCCGTTTTCCTCTTTAGTGCAGTTTTTGCCCCACCTTCTTCTGATCTTTTTTTCTCCCTCTTGCAAGGTAAGGCAATAAGCTACTTTTTACTCAGTCTGTGGGTAAATGTGTTACAGTTGTTTGAAAAGGTCAACCACATCAGGTCAAAATGACAACAGAAGGAATGCAGCTGTTGAGAAACAGAAAGCCCTGCATGCTCCTTTCATGAAGATTAAGTATCCTTCTAGGTGCAGAAATGCATCTTCTACTAAAGAGCTGTGTATGTCTATAGCATGCCCACCTTGTCTTTAAAAGCATTTCACTCATTCAAAAAGAGAAAATATTTCATTGGAGGTTCCCCCCCGCAGTACTCCCCAAAATTTCCAGTTTTTCCATTGGAAGGGGGGGGGGACTTTGGAAAAGAGGGAGAATTTGGGGGCTTTTTCCAGGCTTTTACATCTCTAATTCAGAACTGTTGGATGTATATACTATCTGGACTCAGTGTCCTTGCTATTTTTAATTTGTAAGTTACCCCTAGAATGTCTGTAGAAACCTCTGTTTGACTCTATTTTGTATAAGCTAGGCTTTGACACACAGTGGACTGCGTAGTTCTGCTCTGACACTGCTAATTTTTAGAGACTGCTGCTTGTGTGTGTGTGTACCTGATTTAACATTAAATAATGTTGGTGGAGAGGCGGAATCTCAACCTGGATTGAGTTCATAATGTAACTCATGTTACATATACCTCTATAAAAGGTGCATTCATCTTATTCTGGCAGTAATAACCTGGTTGTCTTCGCCAATAGCAGAGGTATGTAACTCTTGGGAAGGGGGAGCTTAACTTGCAAACAGCTTTAAACTTAAAACTGAAATGAAAGCAAGTGTTCTGTCATATTGCACATTAATTGTCCACTTATATTGGGTGAATTTTAATTCATGGATTGGAGGACTAAGCTCCCTACCCATCACATGCCAAGGGCCTGTTTCTCTTTATCTTGTCCTTTGCCAAGCAGCCCCTTTTTCCTTCTTTGTTTTTCTCTGACTTTCTCATCCAGTCATTTGAATGTATATTGTTAAAAGCTGGCCCAACCTAAGGAACTGAAGGGAGAGAATAAAATCCTTTTTATGTCCTGATTCGATAATGACACACGAGAGGCTGATGGTAGTTCAAAAATAACAAACTGTTTTATTTAACTTGAGGGGAAATGGTCAGGTAGGAATCAGATATAGGACTTATGAGGTGAACAGGCAACAGGAATGAGGTAACTGTATAAAAATTAAATGCCAGATAATTCATCACATGTAATTGTTTCTGTTATTTAGACAGGTCTTTAAAAACTTGAGATTTCTTGGCAACCTCTGCTTACATAAACAAGCTAAAGCTTCTTGGTATCACAGACACTAAAGTTGGTGAAGGCAGGACCATTCAAACAAGTTCCAATTTCCCTTCTTAACCACTTAATAGGGATCACCCCCTTTTCTAGGAGCTATTTCTCTGAGGCTAGAATGAAGATCCTTCTTGATCCTCTCACTCCTTAGCCTTCCTTCCTAGTCAACTGTCAGTTCTTAACTGCCACTTTCAACTGAAGAATTCCATTTGAATCCCCTGTCATTCAACGTTCTCAGGATGGGTTACAGGATTAACCATTTACTGTCCATCACAGGGCCATAACCCCAAAATTGCTGGTTTTACGGGAGAAGGGTGTGGTGGAACAGTCCTGCTCTGGCCTGCAGGCCCTGTTCTACCCTGCCCTCCTGGGTTTTCCCAACACCTGGAGGAGATTTTCTTTTTCTGTGTTCAACCGTCACCACCACATGACCTATGTAGGAATTGTCCACTGGGAGGGTCCTCCAGAACTCAGGTAAGAGTTCTGTCCACTTCAATGGAATCAGCACCAAAGAGACCCTTCCTCCTTGCTCCCAGGAGTTTTATCTCTTTTCCCACCCACTGTCCAGGTCAGGCTTGGCCAAAGAAGCTTATCTTGAACTCCCCAGGAGTTCTTCCTGAAGGCTTTCTAGCCTTAATTCCTCCAAATCTCTGTTCCCTGTTTTTTTTGGGGGGGGGGCTGGATCCATTAGCATTTCTTAAAAGGTGGCTGAGGTGAGGCTGGAAAAGCAATTGAATTGACTTTCCCCCTTCTTACCTTTTCTCAGCCTAGAGAGAAAAACATTTTAAAAACTCAAGGTGAAAAATTCGTTTCTTCACAAAGGGTTCATCCAGCATTCATGTGAATGTTCTTTCCTAAACGTTGCCTTCCCAATCCCTTTACCAGCTCTGCTCACAATCACCCACTTCTTTCCTCCCATGTCAGAACATCACCCTGCAGGTTTCACCATCTAGTCTCCTTCCCTATATCCTGAAACAGCTCTCCTGTACTGCCCCCACCCATCTCTTTCACACCATTCCCCTTAGAGATATGGGCCAATTGCACATTCTTGCAACCAAAAGTCAATCAAAACTAAAAGCCACTTACGTGCTGTTTCTGTGTGGTTGTCTCTATCTCTGAGTGACTGAGAGAAAGGTATTTTGAATAGAGGATAAAGGTAAAGGTAAAGGTTCCCTTGCTCGAAAGCCAGTCGAATCCGACTCTAGGGTTGCGGTGCTCATCTCCGTTTCAAAGCCGAAGAGCCAGCGCTGTCCGAAGACGTTTCCGTGGTCATGTGGCCGGCATGACTAAACACCAAGGCGCACGGAACGCTGTTACCTTCCCACCGAAGTGGTCCCTATTTATCTACTTGCAATTTCTTGCTTTCGAACTGCTAGGTTGGCAGGAGCTGGAACTAGAGACAGGAGCTCACCCTGTCCTGCGGCACCCGGGTCTTGAACCGCTGAAGTACTGACCTTCCACAGCCTGCAGTTCAGCGTCTTAACCACTTGAGCCACCGCAGCTCCTGAATAGAGGATACAAGTTGTGAAATATTGGATTTTTTTGCCTTGCAGTTCTGTACTTAATACTTTGTGGCAAAGGGATGACTTCTGGGCTCAGTCTAGTCAATGAGTGTATGCAAAAGCAAAACACTGTGTTTTAAGTAAGTGATTTTTCTAATAAGCAGTGGACAGCAGTTCCATGGATGGTAGTTCTAGCCAATGTACGTTTAAAAGGCAGTAAAAACTCCTGAAGTTTTAATTAGTATACAGTAGATCATTGTATTACATTGTAATGTGTTAGCTGTTTTTGGAATGACTTTTTACTTCTGGGTCCTAGATAAAGGAATCTTTCTGCTCTTACCTTCAGGTATTTATCTCTCAGACTTGACATATATCGACTCAGCGTATCCATCCACAGGAAGTATTCTGGAAAATGAGCAGAGATCAAACTTAATGAATAACATACTTAGAATAATTTCAGATTTACAACAGTCTTGTGAATATGGTAAGTTTTATATTGTACTTTTATACCATACCATTGTAGGTAACTTTATGATCTTCAACGTGGTCTCTGTGCTTCACACCCATGGGATCTAGTGCACACGCGTTGGACCGATCAGTGCTGTAGCAAGCGTTTTTAATGGATTTTCGCGCCCAGTCCCTCGGGCATGTGCAGGAACCCCACCACGCATTCCCAGAGGGGTGGGCGCAGACATCCTGCCAGTTCCTTTCTTACCGCCGCGTTGAAAAGACCTCTTTCTTCATCGGTCTGATCAGTTCGCTGTTCGATTCACACCACCCGCCCTCCTTCCCCACTGCTGTCAGCTTCTACATTTTTGAATAGGGGTTGATTTGCATGCGCACTAGATCCCATGGGTGTGAATGCACAGATGACCACCAGTTACTGGTAAGCAACCCGCTTTTCAAGCAACTATGAGCCATTTCTTTTTAAAAGAAAGAGAGTGGTAGAAGAAAGATAAAACCCAGGATCTAAAGAATCACACAGATGTTCTCCATCACATGCCACAAGAGCAGGCCATTTTTGAAAATGAAGTGAGTTCCAAGAGTAGTTTCTTAAATGGAATAGGGGTCTGCCGTCAAATGCACTAAGCATATCTCAGCCCTTGGGTATGCCCTAAAGTAGTTTTGTGGATCCCAGCCATAACCTGGAGAAGTAAATGTAAGCAGGGGTATTTTGTCATTTAATTAGTTTACTAGACAACATGCAAAAGCAAAATGCTACTAAGAAATCTGAGTTTTTAAAAATAGTTAACATTTATATTTCAAGTGGCCCTTGGAGGCCACTTCCCTTTCTTTAGTACCTGGCATTGTAGAATATGATATTAAAATTAACTGCTGCTGAAGCAACAAATAGGCAGCTGTGGAGAAGGAGAAATGTTTTGGGAATATCTCTGATATTGCAGAAATCTCTAGCAGACTACAGTTATCTATATGATGTGTTGTTTCAGCCATTCATGCATTAATCTATAACGTCATGTATTCATGCATTTGTTTAAAATTGTTATCTTTTGGTGGGTTGTGTAAATTGTGTTAGGGAAGACGGTTGTGTCCATTGGTAAGCCAGGATGTTTATTAAATATTTCTAGGTAATTGTGCAATATTATGCTGTGTCTAACAGGACAGGGTAATAATTTGTTCTTTATAGCCATGCCCCGAAGTCCGTATGCATAAGAGATGAGATCCATAATTTGTCATTTGCAGTTGCCTCTCTAGCATTCCCCAGCAACAGTTTCTGAAGTCACTTGCACATTTGAGCCACTGGATCCATTCTTGTATTATGGTTGGTAGAAAAGATTTAAGTGTCACATTAGGAAATGTTGCCGAGGAGAAATATGGGGGAAGATATATAAACATGAATATAGGGTAAAAGTAGTGCTGCTTCTTCTTCCACCCCAGCAAATTTTATTTAGATTTCCCTTCATGAAATATGGTTGGCAAGAAGGATGCTGGTTCCCTTCATGGGTGCTCACCTGCTAGCTTATAGTTGGAGAGATTCATGGCACCTGGTATTTTTGAACCTAAAAAAGTTAGTCAGGAATAGAAAAGGGCCAACTCTAAAAGTCTAATAATAAAATGTACAAAAATATATGTGTGTGTTTATTCAACATAAATTAAAATAACAAACAAGGGCCCATTCATACCTCATATAAAACTATAAAAACATACAAGGGCTAATAAGATAGACCTAACACGTTTCGGCCTTTACAGGCCTTCCTCAGAGGTCTAATACATACAGAACATATTGGCTGATGTGCAAAAATACATCCAATTCTACATATACAAAATATGGAATAAAGACCAGAAATCAATTGTTCCAAAGTTTAACCACTGGGCAAGGAAAAAAAATACAGAAATACAAATGAAGCCTCCAGTGAAATCACATGTCCAGTGGTACTTCTCTCTGGTCAACTGTATATTCATCTAAGGTTGTACAGCCAAATGTTCCAAATAAAATGTTCCTTAGGTTAAAAGCAGTGTTGATCAAAAACTTTTCTATTCCTGACTAACCTTTTTAGGTTCCGAATTCTAGGTTTAGGTTCAGGGTTTTTTCCCTTTTTTCTTCTTTGACCTGGTATTTTTAGCCACTGTGTGACAGAGTGTTGGACTGGATGGGCCATTGGCCTGATCCAACATTGGCTTTTCTTATGTTGTTCTCCTTTGGCACAGTTGTCAGCCAAATGCCAGCTTATCTGTGACCGGAGACAGCATCACAAACAGTTCAGAACCATACAAAGAATGCAAGAAATACAATACTGTTAAATGAAAGGAAGATACAAAATAACTGACTTATACACTGTTTGCTATCTAGATATCTCTGTGCTGCCTCATGTTCAAAAATATCTGAATTCTGTTCAGTATATAGAAGAGCTTCAAAAGTTTGTGGAAGACGACAACTATAAGTAAGCATGAACACTAATGAATAAAAATGCATGTGGCTTTTTCCAAGTCTGAGCCTCATAAACTACAATAAAGGAAGGCAAAAATAAATGTCTGCTCTTTTGTTTTCTCAGTTCTTTGTATTTTTTTTTCTCTACAGTGTATAGACTTCCATTTTTCATGATGTCTTTCTTGCAACTCATCTGATTTGGGGTTAAACACCTATCTGCAAAATATGCCCTAGTAGTAACTGAAGTCTTGCAAATATCTAAGGAATGTTATGTCATTCTTTGTTCTATCTGGATGTAGTTCAGCTTCTCTATACTTTCCCCAGTCTGCCTACTTATCCCCAAGTCTGTCTTTAGGGCTAGATCTGTGTTCACAAATTGATTCTGGCTCTCTGAAAGTTGGGACTGGCAATCACAAACAGTGTTGGAAGATTTCCATGGAGTCATAATGCAGCCATAGTAGCATGGAATGGTTTGATCTCAAGATTCCTGCACAGAGCAAAACAAATAATAAATGTATACCTGCGTTTTCACAAGAATAAAATCGGTAGCTGTCTCCGTGTAGCTGATGTTGTTTGCAAACAAAAAATTTTGTTTTGTTTTTAATTCAGGCTTTCATTAAAGATAGAGCCTGGGACCAGCACTCCTCGTTCTGCTGCTTCTCGTGAAGATTTAGTAGGTAGGTGTTTATCGGAGGGGCAGCAGAGGTAGTTTATGAAACACCTCTTTGGTCTCATTCTACTGTGAAGTTGTCTATTATTAAAGTTATGTACCATTTACAATAGAACTTCTCAGAGCATTGTTTAGCCCAGGATTATGTTTCCAGCTTCCACGCCCATACTGGTGCTTCTCAGGCCTTCTCACCACAGTCCTTGCACCTCCTGAAAAGTTTCTAGAAGAGGTTGAAAGGTTACATTGGCTTAGGTTCCTCTGCTTTCTGTCTTACATGGATCCTTCTGCATACACAACCATGAATTTATCTGGGGTCATGTCCCTTGAGGCTCTCAAGACTTAGCAGGTTTCCAGAGCTCATTCACACCTTGAGAAGGGTACTACACAGGTCTTGCAAACTGAGGGCCATGGCTTCCTTGATTGAGTCAATCCATCTCATGTTGGGTCTTCCTGTTTTCCTGCTGCCTTCAATGTTTCTGGGCATTATTGTCTTTTCCAGTGACTCTTGTCTTCACTAATTCATGCTACTACCATGTTTATCCTATTATATTTACCTAGAAAAAAGGAAATGACACCCTGTTTCAGAGATGCCTATCATCCATTTTCTTTATATGATTTAGTTTTAAAACTGGGTTTTACAAAATGAAGCAAACTGCAATGTTGGCATTAAGTACAAAAGGTTTTTGCCTGTTTATAGACTGTTGATGTTGAAAAACCAAAGATCTTTGAACAATTGTGCAGTAAACATAGTTTCAGCCCTACTCTGCACACAGAAGCTGAAGGATTGTAATACAGCCATAAGTTCTAAGCTAAAAATGGTTTTGTTCATTCACAGGCCCTGAAGTTGGAGCTTCTCCACAAAGTATACGAAAAAATGCTGCAGCTGAAGGGGCATTGCTACCGCCAACTCCTCCATCCCCTAGGAACCTGATTTCACACGGTCATAGAAAATGTCACAGTTTAGGATACAAGTCAGTGGCTGGCTTTTAAATTAATTTTAAATACAATATTGTTTTAGCATGTTCACTTCCATTTTGTTATCAGTTTGATCTCAGAAGACCCGGAAATTATTTTTAAAAGCCACTCTGTTCACCATTTGGTTTAGCACTTCATGTACAGAACTGCTTAAATATCTCATAAGAGGTTTTTGCCTGTTTATAGATATATCAATATTGTATGCACATAGAAAGAAAACGAAAGAATGATGACAGATGTTGTGGTCACATAGAACACATAGAAGTTGCTTTCTCTTTAGCATGCCTACACCCAAAGCCCATCAGACATGTTGGGTGGCTCAAAAGGGGCTTGATATGCCTGCCCGCTTAGGATTACAAAAACAGGGAGGTTAAGCCATAGATAGCCTAGGATTCATGCTTAATAGCTGATTTTGGATCGGCCGGTCACAAATTGTGTGGGCAAGCTTTGTCAAAATTTGTACCGTTTGAAGTGTTCTCTCGATTTTCATGAGTTAATGAGACTAAGTGATCGGATCGTCTTCAGTAATTCCACAAAAAACCCTGAAAGGGGAAGGAAAAAAGTTATACAGACACATTAAG